CAGAACCTTATTCTCTGGTCCAACCATAACCACTTACTTGCCCCTAAACCTTTATGCATCACTATTTTGCACCTGAGCAGTGAACAACAGAGAGTATTGTTTGGGCCTTCCTCCTGAAGATATTGCATAAGGTATAAGAGACAAGTGCATTTTGGTGTTTCAAAAAACAAGGGGAAGTGAGTTGATGTGGTTTGGCCTGTGTGTTTAGCAACATGGTCACACAGCTCATGGAGCCAGTTAGGGTACCTTTAAATTTTAGTGCCACGCATACATTTAGATTCAGTGTGACACTTTCCAAGGATGTCATAATCTCTGATAATCTGTCCATAAAGCATTCAAATTCATAGAGAAAGGACACTCCTTATACATGCCAGAGCTTGCCTGAGAATCATGATGTTTTTAAGTTTCCTTCAGTATAGAGTAATCCTGGGACAGTGTATATACACACACTGCAAACAGGAACAGCTAATAGCTAATTTGGCCTCTTTAATGGTGTCAGTTTACCAAAATGTAAACAAATGGGCACAAAAAAAATAGAATTACCACAATTATATGCCTCCTTCAACCAGTCAAGTTGCAGTTTAGATACATGTTTGTCCATTTTACAAGAATGGGACGAAAGGACGAACGACCCAAAAACATAATGCCTCTGGCCTCTCTCTCTTGGAATTTTAAGATGAGCAGATGTACAAAAAATAAATACAAAATATCACATCCAATGCAAAGGAACCCGACCAACTCATCTCAGAGCACCAGATCCCAATTCTAGGCTAGAAACCGCCTGTTGACCGCTGAGCGGCACTGAAGTGACCTCGACCCAGCTCAGTCGTTTTTCCTTTTCCTTAAATTCGAGTCTCTTAGGTGTAAAAGTTTTTTTAATTTTAACAATTCTTTTCAATTCAATTGGTTAGTTTTTACCCACCTAAGAATCTAAACCGTTCGACGCCACTGTTGACTGGTAGAGTTCAGACAGTAGGTCCACTCAACTCCTATTTAAGTTTCATGTTTTGATAGATTTGATCAAAACTCCATCAAATCCACCAAGTTCACCTATTACACAGTATCAGGTTGTGTAGGTTAATAAAGCCTCCCACACTCACTGCAATGGTGAAAAACACTTTGCAGTTCTTAGAGGTTCTTGGAAAAACTTCCACCTTTTGAAGCAGATAATGTGCTATCAATCTGGATACTGAGTCCTGGGAACACAAAGGGTTTCAGATTGTCTCTTTTTTTGTTGTTGCAAACAGTAAAATGCTGCATGAACCTGAAACATGCTCACTTTTATTATTTCCACACAAAAAAAAGATAAGAATTTAGTTTGGGAATCAGTCTGAAGCAATAACCATGACACCGGCCTCTCTTATAATAGAAACACACTTTTGAAAACACATCAGTTCCAAAACTAAGATTGTTCTCAGCACTACAAGTAGAGCTGTAATACAGTCGCACTGAACTGCATGGGTACACAACATAATGTCCATATGTAAATGGAGAAGAGGAACTTCGAGGACTTTACGAACATTTAAGCAACTTCACTCATATACTACTGCAATGGCAAATGGCACCACCAGCTAACAAGCAAGTTAGGGCAGAAATGAAGCCCTGACTTTTAATTCAATGTGGTCATTAACAGCCTTGTCTACATAATTAGATACCACATGACCTCCTGAGCACCAGTTACTGCGATCAGGGTCACATGCTGCCGTTTTCAATGCAAGCAAAAAAGAGGCACAAGTAAAGGGAGCGAGGATTTTTGGCACTGGACAGATATGTGCTGATTTACTGCTGTGTGCAGCACAGCAAGGCCAACATTAACAAGACTGAGCATGCATGATCACACTCAGACACACACACACACACACACACACCTGCTTTCAGGCGATGACAAGCTGCTAGTGGAGGGGAAAACACCAGTGGTCAGTGTGATCTTAGAATTACCATTTATCTCAATACAATTATTAAATGCAAAACTAAGGCTACATTGGGCCATCCTGTGTCATTTCTAATATCATTTCAGCTCGGATAACCAACTCTCACTCTGCCCTAACCTGTGCCCTATATTTTACAACAGCCTTGAGTATCCAAACACACATTATAGTAATGCCACAGCAGACATGTGATACCTCAGAGTACTGCATGGCCACTACAAGCTCACTGCAGCTGTAGCAAGCACACAACAAGGACATCTAACAGGAGCACAGTAATGTGATGAGCGGCCAGGAGGTAAATAACTGTCGAGCCTTCCTGGAATGACTCCGGCTGGGAAACAGCTGTAGCCTGCTGTTTCGGGCCTGAGCTCCTCTGCACACACGCGGAAGGATACGCACTAACTTGAGCCCCTCACCTTGATGAGGTCCAGAGGATGCGTGCAGCAGGCGGCTCCGCAGGACGCCAGCCCACCGAAATACCACCGCGACATCCGTTTCTCGGCCATGGTGCCGCGCTATGCCGTAGTCTGACGCGGCAGCTACAGCGGTGACTTCCTGCCTCCCAGTCCGCCTCGACACGCTGCTGTCCGCCTGCTCTGTCGGCTTCCTGGCCTGAAGGGTACAGCTGGCTGTCGCTGGTGCTCTACAGGACACGGCTAACCTCGTTAATCTTCAAACATTTCGATAAGAGATGCTTCTCGGACCGGGGGGGACTTTGGGCTCCAGCGGAGTCGCGCGCACTCACGAGACATTGCGCGCGTGTCTGTGTGTGTCTGTTTGTGTGTGTGCGCACTGTCTGCTGTGTTTGGTTCACGGTGTGCAATAGGAAGCGGCTGAAGACAGGAGAGAAGAGCGCAGCCAATTGCCACCGTGGACGGCGGAGCTGCCTACCCGCCCCGGGCTCCGAGATCCAAAGGTCGACAGCGGGGTATGAGAATGCTAAAGCCCCGAAGTGCACTCTCTCTCAGCCCACTTTCACCGCTCACAACTGTCAGGCGATTTTTTTAAAGTGGTACGCGCCTCCTCCCGCAGCTGTGCGGTCCGCGCATTGACCCTGTCTCTTTAAGGAGACAACCAGTCGACTCTCTGTCAACCCAAGCAGGAACTTTAGTTAGTCTGAAAAAAAAAATACTGCTACGATTATTTGTGACATGCGTCCACATGTGAGAGTGTTTACTGGGCTCTCACACTGCAGCGGGTTGAAATAAAGATTTTTGTATCTGATCAAACTACTGTGTCATTTGGAAGGTCAGATTAAAAGGCAGAAAGCAAGCCTACTGACTTATTTCAGGTTACTTGAAGGAAGTTAATACAATCATACTATTATTGATCTGTATCTTAAAACAGAGGTCAGCGATTAGGTTCAACCATGGGCCAATTTTTTACAGTGGGCCTCTTCATCGGGGCACTAACAGTTTTGAAAAGGCAGCCCTGTATTTGTGTATTTTGTTTTCTCTGAGTGTATTTTATTTTGGAATTTCTATTTCTTACAAGAATAAAACAGATCTATAAAACTGGTTGTTTTATTCTTGTATATGAGGGCAGATGTTGGGAAGAAAAATGACTCCTGGACACAAGTGAATACTTTATGTTGCACTACCAGACATACATGGCAATTAATTCATTATTGACAGTAAACAGTGATCTGTTTCATTTCAGGTTGAATGGAAATACTGTTCCATTCAACTATAGCCTATACTTTTATACTTTTTATTTTTTACCAGCACACCACTTTTATTAGGGTATTTTAGCATTTATTAGGGCACTATGAGATGAAAATGTTTGATCATATTTGTATTGTGATTTGTATTGGGATTTACATAGGCCTGTTAGTAGTTAGTTTTATTAAACTACAAAATGGAAAAACTTCAGAGACCAACCATTCTTGTTGGATTTGGTTAAAAACTCAATTACATAAGTGGGATTTGGTAAAATTTCCAGTACATAGTGTGCCTGATGTTTTTAAGGTTATTTTGTTTGTCATTCTTCATATCTTTGGCTTACTAGATGTTGCCTTAGTAACAGACTGTCTCATTATGTGCGAAACAGTCCCAGATACCAGTTACAAAGCTATCCGAGAAAGGCCTAACTTACATAGATTAGTCTTTATATTTGAAGCTTTCCCCTCTTTTAAAAATTAAACATGATACTTAACAAAGCATGAATCGGGCCGGTCCAAGTACGTTTTCAAGTGCCCAATCTTCATCTCATTGTGGTTTTTATTAGCTTGTTATGACCCCTGTGCTCAGTGGAATAATACCCATACCACCCAACATTGGTACGTCAGATTGGGAGAGGTGTTTTAAACCATGCCCAAAGTGTAGATGGAAAAAAACAGCAATGTATTTTAGCAGAAGGAACAGTCATAATGTCAAACACTATATGACACAGCATGAGAGGATGACAAAAGCTGCAAACATGTACTCAAACTGATGGCACCCATATTGGTATCCTCTTTTGCTGTTGTAAACTTAATTCAAATACATTGCTTTTCATCTGTAAGTGTTAAAACTGTCTTATACCTGTATATATAAATATTCAGTGTTGCAGTGTCATGATATGTGACGGTTCATTTTACAGAGCACATCAGTTACTTAGTGTTTACTGCCCCCAAGTGTACTATATGTGCTGTTACCACTCATAGTGGCTAATTGATGGCTGTTGTTGACCAGTAGCTGCTTGCACTCACAAGTGGTGTACGTGTGCTCTTTAATTGTTTTTTACTCATTCCAGCAATAATATATGTGATCTATTTGTGTTTCATAGTCCTTGAAAACAAAACACAACAAGTGGTAACACACACACAGTATTTATTCTGCACGTAAACACACAGTCCATCACATCACAGGGGCCTTATATCTAATGTATAATCAGTTGTAGTGGAATGTGAACACATACATTTATTGTACACAAGTGGTTTCTGTACAGTTTCTTATCTTTATTTATTTATATTTTAAAAGTTCTCTATCTTTTATGTGTGATTTGTATATTTTTGTGTGATTGTATATTTTATGCACCACTGCACCAAGACGAATTCCTCGTATGTGTAAAAACC